ATTTAATGACCAGGACGTCGCTAGGCGGTAGTTGGAAGTTTGTGCTGATATGTGTGCGTGTGTATTCGTATGCGTGAAAGTATGTGTGCTAGTGTGTGTTTGTGTACGTGAGTATGTGTGCTAGTGTCTGTTTGTGTGCGTGAGTATGTGTGCTAGTGTCTGTTTGTGTGCGTGAATATGTGTGCTAGTGTGTGTTTGTGTGCGTGAGTATGTGTGCTAGTGTGTGTTTGTGTGCGTGAGTATGTGTGCTAGTGTGTGTTTGTGTGCGTGAGTATGTGTGCTAGTGTGTGTTCGCGGGCTGGTATGTATGTCTATGCATGCATGTGTCTGTGTGTTTCGTGTTGGTGTGAGTGAGAGATGGCGACGATGAAGGAATGATGTGATGATGATGATAGTGATGATTACGAGAAAAAATGAACGAATAAAAATAAACAAAAATAAATAAGTGATGCGACATCATTTGAGCATGTGGAGACGTGATGTGCTGATTTAATAAAGAAGTCTAATGATCCTGCCTAGAATGAGATAAGTTATGTAATGACGTCTGTCGTGCTCTGTGTTGTATCTGCAATGTCAGGATGACATCATGGTGATATCATGATGACGTCATAGAGATGTCATAGTGATAAGTTGGTTATCGTGTGATTTGATGTGTTTCTATTGATTGATGTGATTAAAACCTGATCTTCAGATTTTCAGTTGATTTTTTACTCATTAAAATTTATATTTACATTTTTCGATTGATTAATTACCGACATAGAGATGAGTAATTATGTTGAAAGAATATGAAACAGTGGCATTGAAGATCTAACTAAATACATGAGAGCGTTCGTTCGTTTTGTTCGTGCACCTACGATTTTCCAATTACGAAATTAATACATTTTCATATTAAATTACTAAAAAAACCAAAAAACTATATATAACATCTTTGTTTAACATTTCAAAATCAAAATGTAAACAAAAAATTTTGATTAATGTTTCTCAGTATAAAATAATAGTTTAAAAAGTTTTTTAATTATCTGAAAAAGAAAATTAAAAATACTAATATTCCTAATTTAATTAAAAAGAAGAACTATCATCTCATCTCATACTATCTGACATTCAACAAAAGATGGTTGACAGATTGTTGTTGGTCGAAGGCTAATCTTCGAAACATCAACTTCTTTTTCATGTGCAGTCTGTTCATGCTGGCTGCTATCTATCTCAGGATCTCAGACACTCTTTGAAGTATTCGTCAATAGGAACCATAGAGATGACAAGAATTGTGCTAATTAAACTTGTTTCTCCACCATTTCGCTCATTATTTATTTATAAAAAAAAGATTTTTAAATAACTAAAACATTGTTAGAATAAAAATTATTTAATTTTTCAACTAGATGAATTATTCAACATTAATCTAATTTAAATAGAAAACCTCTCAGCCGTCTATTTTTTTAAAATATTTACTGAACATATGCACAAACATACATAGTTGTATACATATACGTATGTATTGTACACTACATAGATATATACACTGACGAACGCGTACGTGCAAACGTGCAAGCTATAATCATCATTCGCGCCAGTACTGCCTGTTCATCATGACACCTACATGTTTTTTAATGAAACAAAAAATGAAGTTAATTCGTGCATTGAAGTCGGCAGAACATTTCAGGCTGATGTGATTCGATGCGATGTGGCTGGTTTTGATGGTTTGTTGTGAAGGAGTTGGTTGGGCTTTTTTTTAATGTGATGTAATGTGATGATGTAATGAGGTGTTGTTCTACGTAAACTAGTGCCAAATGATGATGCAATGTGATGTTATATGATGTGATATGGTGCTATACAATGTGATGGGTTAGAAAGAAATAAATTGAGTTTAATGATGTCATTCGTGTGGTATGGTGTGAATATACAATGTTACGTTGTGCGATATGATGTTAAGTGATAATGTAATGTAATGTTATGTCATGCCATGCTAGGTGATGTAATGGGCTGTGAAAGAATAAGATGTAATGTAATGTAATGGGATGATGTGTGCTGGTGTGTTACTTGATATAATGTGAGGGTTTTCGCTAGTGCAATAAGCTTTGTTTAGCGTGTGTCCCTGCATAATGAGTTATACAAATGTTCACATATAATGGTGTATTGATGACATGTGTTTTATCGATACAGTTTGTTGTGTCGTTATTTCACTCCTGCTTCTTGTTGTTGTGTGGGATGTTGAACCGTGAACTGAAATTACATTAATTCAATAAATTGTGATGTCATTAGGCAGTGCGTTGGAAACTGATGTTATTTAACGCAAGTCGAAATGTGAAATAAAATATGGGATTTGAGTTTGGGGTTTTTTGTAACGTGCAAGTCTAAATGGGCGTGATGTTACGTCACAATGTAATTTCACATACCTTGATGGACCGCAGAGATGCCTGCAGAGGTTCAGTGATGTGATCCCATTACAGAAAGCATCATGACATCAGCGCGTCATCATTCCAATCAATTAGATTACACGACACCGTATTTGACATCTTGACGTTAAATCACATGACATAATATTGCAATGAACATGATCGCATTAAGGTCGACGCATTTAAAAGCGTTACTCTACCCATCAAAAAATTTAACGCGATTCCTGTCAAACAAACATTTGGATGTGGAAAGAACAAAATTTCCCTCCCCATGAAACGAGATGATACTGCGTTGCAAGTACAAATGGGAAGATGGCCTGATAATAAAAGAAAACACGCCAGTAAACTTTTTTCTAATTTCATGTTTTGTGACATGAAATTGCATTAAATAGCGTTCATTAATAAATTGCGCAACCGCCATTCAACCTTTCATAATTATTTTATATAGGGCATCTAAAATGTTTCATCTGGATGTTCACTCTTCCAGGAACAAACATTTGCACGCACACGCACCAACATTTGCACGCACATAATTTATAGTTGCGGCTTAAACGTTGCAATCTTAACACAGGCTCACCACATCATGTACGTGCGTGAATACTTATTTTAAGCCAGACACATGAACATTGGTAATCTCACACATATTTCATTCAAAGAACACAACACAAATACAAGTACCAAAGTTTAAAAATAATACATCCTCCGCTTTCACACATACATTTATATGTAATCTATAATAAAAAAAAAATTTTATTAGTTGACTACACTTAAATAGCATGCTTATATCACAGTTAAATAACCACACGTGTGCGTGCGTATATATGTGTGTGTACGTGTAGATCTATACGCTTAACTCTATATAAACAAACTTACAAGAAAGAAATGTATATTCACTTGTACAAAAAAAACAATACCGACACAAATTAAAACATTAATATTTACACACACACACACATATACAAATACACATATACAGATACAAATACACGCATAAAAGACGACCGCGTTAACATGAGCAGCAGTAGTAGCAGCAGCAGCAGTAGTAGTAGGAGCAGAGTGAATCGACCACTTACGCCAGATAAAAGGCCAGCATTGTTGAGCAACTTATTTATATTTCCTATGAGTCCACTGAAATATTGCTAAAATGCATCACTGCCTGCACAGGGGAATGAATTTGAGTTATTAATTATTCACATATTGAGTCTGTTCAGTTCGCAACGCACGATGAAACCGCAGTTGTTGTCTTTTGTTTGGCTCACGTGTTTCTATCTCTATGTGTCTGAGTCTGTTTGTGAGTCTGTTTGTCGGTGTGTGTTTGTCTGCGTATGTGTTTGTCTGTGTGTGTGTTTGTCTGTGTGTGTGTGTTTGTCTGTGTGTTTTTGTTTTTTGCGTGTATGTGTCAGTGTACGCTTTCAAGTTTTTTTTGTACTTTTTTGCTAGTGCCCACCTGTGTGTGTGTACATCCTTCATTTTAAGCTCCTATAGATTTGGCAATTTTTTTTAATAATTTTTAAATACAAATTAACAAGTAAATAGATAGTAATCACAAAAGTTAATTATGTGCACGAGTGTTCAATTCGAATGATTAAAATCTTTTTTTGAAATAGTAGGCAAAAATAGACTTATAAATTTAAAATCATAAATGGGAGAAAACAAGTAATCATTCATCTATGTATGTGTGCATGTGCAAATGTGTAGGTGTGCTTCTAAAAACAAAATTGTGTGATGTGTCAAACATCTCCACTGTGACTGTTCAAGGTTGACGTACGCGCTGGGACTCTACAGTTGGCAATTCTCTACTGCACCTGTCTGATACATGCATACATGCATAAATACATACATACATGCTACATGTATAGATACCTATATATTCACAAACAAACACACACACACACATACATTCATACATCATACACCGTAAATCTTCTATCAGAATCAGATGTGAGTGAGTGTAGTACAGATTTTAGGGTTTTAACATTTACTGACACGCATGTATTTTTGAATGGAATGATTGAACTCGAAGTGGCAATGAAATTATCAGAGTTGAATGATCTGAAATTATTTAATGAATGGAAAAGTTCATGGTTCTGAAGATTTATTGAGTTGATCGGAAATATCAAATACAAATATGAATAGTTAAAAAAAATTGCAGTCTAATTTGTCTTCTTGAAGACGTAGACTTACCATTTGTGTTTTGCCAAAAAAATTCAAGTCAATTTAATTATCGTTGAATGAATGAACCATATAATTAATGGATAAATAGTGATGAATAAAAGAATGGATGAACAATGAAATAGACATTGAATTAATGAATGACCGCATGAAGAATGAAATAACGACTTTTGATAATGTGGTCGTCTGTATGTGTTTCGTGTTTTGAATATGCATGATTCTTATTGTAACAATTTTTCATTGTTTCTTAACTTATTAATGACCTAAATAAAATTTTGGCATTTTAACTTTGACGAATTTTTTGTAAAAAAAATGTTTCCGATTTACAAAATAAAGCAAAATGATAAAGTTTTATAAGGTATAGATGAAAGTCACTTTAAATTATGATTGAAATATTTCGAATAATTTTTTTTGCAAAATGCTTACATAGCTGTTGAGATGGAGTGTCTGGCACTGTGGAAGGAAGCTTCGGAGAACTACCTGTACGTAAGATTGCTGGATGTTGACGACGACGAAACATATCGATGTCTGGTTCGTAGGCTTTCATTTGGCAGATTTTTTTCAACTTCACATCAACTTTATACTTATTCAGTGTTCACTTCACTCATTATAAAATTCACCATTCAAATTATTATATTGATCTTAAAGTAACTTTTAAGGATTATAGGCTTTATTACTGGCTTGCCTTTGAATAAACTTTTTATTTCTTATTATTTTTCATCTTATTTATTTATTTTAATCAACTTGTTCGTGTAAAAATTCACATGGGATTTAAAATCGTTAGCAGCATTTTTCAACGAGAAAAAAAACAAATATTTGATCAATCAAACAATCAATCAATCAGACAATTAATCAATCGAACAAGCAACCAATCAATCAATGAATGAGTTGACGGGTCAAGTGAAGGAGCGGTTGTTCATACATTCACGTTGAGCTCTTTCAAGAATTTAAATGATTTTGAAAATAAAGTTAAAGTACTTAAGAGAAATATAACAAAGTGAACAAGTTTAACACTCTTTTATGCTTAATGTTATTTACATAGTAATATACATTTTGATTTCAGTTACACTGTAATACGATTACAATTAAATGTGAACTTAAAACCCCAAAACTAATGCTGGTGTTCCAAAATGCTGCGTGCACTTATACTTACTATATTGATTTTATTGCTTCTTTTTTGCGTTATTAATATTTATAAAAAAAAAAACAACAACGCCTATCAAAACAACAACAACTACTACTACTACTTCTACTTCTACTTCTACTACTACTACTACTACTACTACTACTACTACTACTACTACTACTACTACTACTACTACTACTACTACTACTACTACTACTACTACTACTACTACTACTATAGTACTACTGCTGCTGCTGCTACGATTACTATTACTGCTGTTGCCACGATTACTACTGCTGCAGCTGCAGCTACTACTACAAATATGCGGCAGCTCGAAAATGTCATCAAGAATGTTCAATGAACATCGGCACACCAACATCATCAACATTCGCCATAAATCGTTGTCATCCCTATCATAACGAAATAATGTATGTGTGTTTATCTCTGTGTGTGAGCTTGTGTGAGTGTTTCCTTCTCTCTCTGTGTGTGTGTGTGTGTGTGTATGTGTGTGTGTGTGTGTGTGTGTGTGTGTGTGTGTGTGTGTGTGAAGTGGTGCAGTTGTCCATACGACACAGTGTAAAGTGTACGATGTAAGCAACAACAACACGAATATCAGATTAACAACAACATCCACATAAACAGAACTTGGGCATGAATAAGTATTAACAGTGTTACCAACAAAGGCGAATCTTTGCACAATGCCTCAAGATGACCCAAGTTTGATAACAAATGTTACAAAATTTTATAACTTGGAAGCCTTACAGACAATACAACTAAAACATTGAATTTTAATCTAACATCAACTTGTGTAAGCCAACTTGAACATGAACAATTATTTCAACCGGAGCAAACGATCAAATATACTGCCAGAAACAAACTCTTTACACTGAATTTCATTACAACTAATCTAAAATGTGAAAGGAATGAAACAACACCAAAAACTCTGACCCAACAACAACAAAAACAAATGATGCAATAGGAAAACAGCAGCAATCAGTTTAATAATAGCGGAAAAAAGCTAAAACAACAACACTGGTGACCATAACAGACAAAACATCAACGACAACCACAACATCAACGACAACAACAAAAGCAACAACAACAACAACAGCAGAGATAACAAGGACCAAGGGCCATGCATAAAATGAACATTCATCAAAAGTTTCAACGATAACTTCATGCTTCATAGGACCCGCTCATAAACTCAATCAATTACATTCACATACATTCATATAAATTCACATACATTCATATACATTCACATGCATTCACATACATTCACATACTCTCACATACATTCACATACTCTCACATACATTCACATACTCTCACATACATTCACATACTCTCACATACATTCACATACATTCACATGCATTCACATGCATTTCCCATGCCTTCATACACCCTACATGCACATTCATATTTATAATTTTTATTATTCAATCAAATGCTTTGTTATAATAAAATGTACGCAATATTTAAACGTCAACTCTTTACATGACTCAAACTGCAGATGAAATTTACAAATGTACAACTTTCGCGAAAGTAATTTCAGATTGCAATAATAGTAATAAAAGGTTTCATTCATTCGCAATCACTGACAGACATGAATCGATTGATGCATTCGCAAACACGCACACATGCACACACACGCGCACACACGCACGCACAAATCTTTCATTCCACCGAATAGAAATACCAGCACCATGGTAATGACGTGACGCTGTCTATGAGTGTCGACGCAACCTGCCGAGGTCTCAAGAGTGCCGTGGATGGTCCCTTCCTCATGAAGTTCGTCAAAGGTAGGTTGAAGTCTAGGGTCTTGTGATCGTTAAATGACTTTTTGAGAAAATTTTGAAAACTTTTTGCATTCTAGCTTGACTGAACTAACATAAAGTTATTGAATATAAAACGTCTTTTAAAAATTTTCAGCTGATCTTTCGCTAAACAAATCCAACCGTTGCCATTTTCCTAATTGGATAAAGAATACAACATGGCGAGATATGGCTGGCCGGTTCAAAATATTAGCTAACGAATCGGAGAACAGTTTGGTAGAACGTCATCGCCGACCTAGCCAACCAAAAGACGACGTACACGCTGTACACAAGTGTAGGAGCATTTTATCAAATTTCACAAATGAGGCCAACGAACGAATCCTCATATACCATGTCCTCACTATTCACAACTGGTCAGTCTTGGTTTTTATTCAATATTTGAAATTGGCATTTTAACATCGGTATGATAAATACTAGTTTTTCAGTTTAAGGTAAATAAGGTTCACCTATCCCTTTCTACTGTGTTCAGAAGTTCAAAGGTTTTGAGAAACAAATATTAATTAAACAAGACCTTACAATGGAATAGTCATTATGATAGGATTTCGTAAGATGAAAAGAAAAAATGTTTTACAAAATATATATATATATATATATATATATATATATATATATATATATATATATATATATATATATATATATATGTTATTCAGGGATAGAATGAATCTTTAAGAACTTTAAGTTTTTAATTTCAAGGTTTGCTCAAAGTTTTTGCAATTTAAATTTAGTTTTGTCATAATTGTCAATGAAAAGGTTTAAAAAAAATTTATTTCACGCACTGATGAAAATATTGCACTTGCTAAACTTGAGACACAAATGGAAATATATTAGTTAAGAACAGACACAATATATATAAACAATCAGACTTTCAATTTTTCACTCAATCTTTAGTTACTACTGAACGCTTACATTACATTAACAGCGTTTAAAATTACAGTTAGCAGATATTAACAAATCATTTAATAAATACAAGAAAACAAGAAAAAATAAGTAAATAGACAGCACCAATAGTAACAACAATAAACCCCGCAACAACAACAGCAACAACAAACAAACAAACAACAGTAGCAGCCACACAGCTACCAACCACAAAAATAAAGATTGATAGCTGATTGTGCAGGAGACAGTGTGAACAGTTAACAACATCCTCACCCAATGATCAATAACTACATGCCTACAACTACCACTACAACTTCTTCTCATACTAAAATTACTACTTTGTTTCTATTTTTATTATTATTACCACTCCAATTACTAGCATCGTATCGTATTGTTGTTAATATTATTGTCGTTACTACTACTTTAAATATTGATATTAATACTAAACTGGCACACGTTTGTTCTCTTGCTTAGCCTTTTCTACTGTTTTCCCATTTAACTGCATTATATTATTTGTGTTTTTTTATTATTTTGTAAATTCATAAATATGTTGTTGATATGGTTGAAAGTTAATTTCATTAATGCTATTGCTGAAAAATAAATTAATCTTAAGCAAAAAATTAATGAAAGCTAAAGTTCAAAGAAAATTTTTTGCCATGAAGGACGGTTTTTAAGAAAAATCTGAAACTGTTGCCGTTATTGTGTAGTTGTTCTACTGTTTTTTGTTGTTTTAGTTGCTTATTTTTATGTTTTTCGTTGTTGGTTTGTCATTTACCATTGTTATTTTTGTCAGATCAATCAATCAATCAGCCAGTCGTTTAATTATTCAATCAATCATCCAACCATCTAACCAACCAACAATCAACCATACAATCAACCAACCATCCAACCAACCATCCAACCAACCATCCAATCAACCATCCAATCAGTCAGCCATCTATCACCGCCAGATGATGTAGATTAAAATAATTTCAAATGATTCAACGACAACAACGACGATACAAAAAAATAATTTGCCTAGAATCTATGATAGAAGCAGATGACTCGTTGTAATTTGAGAGTCAGAAAAGTTTTACTATATCAAATGCACCAATTTAAGCTCAAGAACAAATCCCTATTTGAATTTGAAATATAAGAGTAATATATATATAAAACATCATAAATCATATTTTATTACAAATATTTTTGTTAAGATAAGCAAATAATGTGCATTTAAATTTTTAACAGCGTATCACGGAGCACATGCCTTCAAATAAGGACAACCTCTTACAATATCATGACTGTCTCCCAAGGTTTTTCGTTGCTCGTATCTCAATAATTTTGTTTCTAATAAGTTTTAATTTGTTTTCATTTTATTCAATAAATTTTTTGCTTGATCATTTTTTGGTTTAATTAATTTGAACAAGAAACTGTTCTCAAAGTTTAATGAATTCTAAACAAACTTTTTTATGCTAATCAAGTTTTAAGGATAAAGTTGTGTAGAACAAAGCTATTTCGCTTAATCAACGAATTTAGACTTATGAAATATATTGAGAGAAAAATTAAAATGTTGAAGTACAACTCATGTTTGTACCTTTTCCAGAATGCAGCTGCTATACTATTTTTCTAACAAGGGATGTTTTCTGGCGTAGTTTATCTATTTTGTAGGAAGTCGTCAAATTTGTAGACAATAATTATTTATCCTTAAACAATTAAACAATTTTAATATTGATTTAAATGTAAGAATTTGAAAAATTACGGTTTATTGTTTGAAAGTAAGTTGATTAAATGTTTCGGTGTAACATTTTTAATTAAAAAAATCACTACACAATTCGCGTATTAAAACTTGAAAGTATTTTTTTTTACTTCTAAGTGGTCATCAAAGGAAACTATTTAGTAGATATTAATTTTCAGTGTCTTGTGAACAATTTCTTGAACATGTTTTGAAACTCGGGAAACGTTTGAAGCTGGTTCTCATAACAAGCTCAATTTTTTTGGAGACTAAATTTAAAGTTTTTTCTTGATGACAGTTTTTGAATTTCAAACACAACATTTAGGTTACATTTATGGTGGAAATGATGAAGAGGACGACGAAGATGACAACGACCAGGTGAATGTCAATGAAGTGAACAGGAAATGTCAGCAGGAGTCCACATACACGCGTCACCAACATTATCTTTGTGGGTTTCAATCAGATGTATTTTAAAAATTAAATTTTGAAATTTCAATTGGTATAAATTTGAAAATTGTAAATTGATTTTATATCCATATCTAGCAAATTGAATAAATATTGATTAGACTCACTTTTAATTCAGTCAATACGCCAGTCTGTCGTTCAATTAAATCAAATTATTTTTGGTATTGCAACTACATTAAATGTCAATCTTTCAAACGAATTAAATTAATTGAATTAGCCTAGTTAGGATGGAGTTAATTAATGTACAAAACATGTGCATATTCACTAACCATTACACAGAAGCTGATATACCGGCAACCGTTCACCACAGCAGAACTTACGAGTTTTAAAATAAAAAGCACTTCTAAATTTTGAACTTTTATTAAATACAATAAATGTGTAAAATAATAAAATTAAAATGACTTCTCTCGTGAATAATACCAACAGGTCGAAGCTATATTTCTAAAATTTACCAACACGCTGTAAAAAGCGCTGTAAAAAGGTATTGATTTGTCGTAACCGAGAAAAAAAATAAAGAAAATGTAAAAAAAAGTTGTGGTTTAAGAGAAAGAGAGAGAAGAGAGAGAGAGAGAGAAGAGAGAGAGAAAAAAAGAGAAGCAATTAATCTCGTTGAGACTGTTTCCCCCGCATACATTCATAATTGTTAATCAACAACAACCAAAACAAACGAAAGAACAACCGACGGCAAAAAGCTGCAAACAAACAGAAACAGGCAAACAAACAAGCAAACACGAGAGCATTATAAAACACATGGATATCAGATTAAAATAGAATTCCACGTAATTTGAAGTTATTTTATTGTATCATTCTGGTCATGAACTGTAGCAAACGTTGACTTCGTCACACGTTTCTTGCACCTTCAGTCGAATACCCAGGTTTCTTGTCACATACTAAATGCTATAAAGCTCTACTTCACGCTTTTTTGAATAAAATTGAAATGTGAACATAGGCAAATTAAAATAAAAACAGGTATTACTATTTTTATGATAATTATATATTTCTCAAAATAGACATTCTAAATAAATTTTTTCATTCAATTTCCACATCATTACATCTCCATCACAGCAAAATATATTTTAGTTGTTCTATTATTTTCCATTTGCATCAGCTGCATCTCATACCAGCCTATAAAGAACGTCTGAATTGAACCTTGATTCAATAGCAGCATCTCCATTTCAAACATCATCAGACATCCTGCCGACAATTCAACAAGCATCTTTCCAATACCAATAATTATAGTAATTTTTAGTATAATCATGATAAAACCGCGAGTAATGTTATTACTGTGGTTTTCTTTGTCAGAATTATACCAGAAATTTCAACAAAAACATCAACATTTTGTCGTCGTTAAGTTTTTGTTTGCGTTTTTTATTTTCTGTCCGCAATTTTCACATATTTTCATTCAAACAAATAGTTTCTGTTTAGTCATCAAATTACTCGTGTCCTTTCCTCTTTTCCATTGTGTTTGTTTTATTTAAAAATCATTCACCCACCATCTTCACCATCTCCATCATCTTCACGAACCATCTTCGCCATCTTCATCATTTTCTTTCTCCACCAGCCACAACATCTGGAAAAGTGAGTTGTCCTCTACCAGGCAACCATCACACGGCACCGGTCGGAACCTGCATGTACAGGTTGAACGTTGGTTGCAACCAGGAATCCACCATACTCATCGAACCAAGTTGCTCCACTGATAGAAGGGGTCGGCTATTTTTCTTCCGTTATTAATTATATATTTATATAAATTATTATTATTATTATTGTTACTCTTATTATTATTATAATCGTTGTATAATTTTTGTTGTCGATCTGGCTATTATAGCTTGTTTTAGTGATGTCTTTGGATGGTTTTCATCATAAACTTGTTAAATTCATTTCAATGTTCTTATTGTGCATATCCTAACTAGACGCACACAGACACACACACAAGCACAGACATACACACACAAGCACATACACACAAACAAACACACACGCACACGCACAGATGATAACTTGGAATGTCTTGCCACCTGGTCCAACAAACTGACCGTGTCTCATTACGTAATGGTCAGACATAACAGAACAGGGGTCATCAGTTGCTACGTTAGTTGGTGGTCATTTTTTTTGAATTTAACAATAATTTACTCAAAATAACTATAAGCTTATCACAATATACTATGTAGAAGTTAACAAGTTGATAAAATCTTATGGTTATTTTTCATTTTAATTCGCCAGAGTTTCAGGCGGGAGAACAACATAGAAATGTTTGGCTACGATCCCAACTGCATATACAACAAAATCAACAACAACAATAACAGAGATGGTTCTATAAATAATAACGCTCACCACAACACCATTTATCAAATTAATAAACAAAGTATTTAGTCTATTTTCTTTTAATTAATTTCCATTTTTACTAATACAAAAAAAAACATAAATGTAACAAAATATTTTAATTCTCACCCACCAAACAACACCTCAGGTTCGTGTGTTGTCAAACAACACGCACCATCGTTGCCATCATCACAAACAGCAACGAACAACAACAACAAACTTTCAGTTCATCGACCGCACCAACAGTCAAACAACCACTCGAGGCGAAAATTTCCAACTAACAACAGCCAACTCAACCAGCAACAAAATCTCATATCAACCAGACGTTTCGATACTGTGGTTACGACAACGACGACATCTCACAAACATCTTCTGGACGTCAGTTCATCCTTTGAAGACACGAACATCAAGAAAAACTTTGTCATCCCAGGCGGCAACGATGATGACGACTACGACGACGATGACGAATACAATGATAAGGACGATGAGTACGATGACGACGACGACAACGATGATGAAGACAGTGGAATGACACCCGGTGGCAAGAAAAGAGGAACAGACCACAGCAACAACAAACCAAACAGGAACAAGCATCTAAACACAAACAGCAACAACAACAAGCATTCCACCAAATATACTAACAACCACAGATTCGACACGCACCAAGAAGACCCACTAAATCCAGATCTTTGGCAAAACCCTAAAAAAGGTGTATTGAGGTCGTACAACCCAACAGTCACAACAACGCCAACAACAACGACGACACAATTGCACTTGTGGAGGCGAGTGACTAACATGCACCAGCAACCACACCATCAGAAACCAACTTCTATCTACAAACACTTCAACAAAGTTGCTCAGCAGACCAACAAGCATGGACGTGTTGCAATTATTGATGGCAACACTCTAAAACACTCTTCAGCATTGTCGTCATCGTCGTCGTCGTCATCTATGTCATTGTCATGGTGGTTACACTTCATCGTTGTTCACCTGGCGATATCATTAACAAGTCCGTCGTATTTGTTCGACATTATCATTTCAAACATTACAAAATTCTCAACATTTATGTCAACAGAAGAGCAAAAAAAACGTTTTAAATATCATATCAGTAAGAAAGTTTTGTTGAAAATACTTTGCAAAATTTGGAAGCCTCTTTTTATAGAAAGATTGCACGCTCGACAACAATATGACAACAGTTTATTAGCTGACACCAAGGTTAGTAGCCGCAACCACAAATTCAACCAATTTGGAAGTTTCAATGGAAGTAACCGCAACACCACCCATGCCACCACCGACAACAGAAGGGACAACAACAACATCGATCTTCAATACTGTCACAAATATGAATCCAACATCAATGCAATCGTTAATGAGTCTGTCAATAGAATTGACATTGTTAATGTGAAAAATGAAAATAATTCTCTGAACAGCAGGAAAATAACAGCAGACATTGATAACAGCGAAACAACTCACACGCACATCTCTAACCAGCAACTTCTTCCAACCTATCATTTGTACTGCCAACTCAACCCAACAGTCAAAAACCCATCAGACACCAGGTCACTGCAATCAAATCACAACCATCAGCATTTTCGACAACAACAACTACAGCAATGCAATAATCACGTCAATAAAATATACCACGTTAACCCAATAACAAATTATCATCATTATTTCACATGTCTTTTAAGTTTTTCATCGCTTCGCTTTCCCTTCGATTTAGAGAATTATTCATTTATCTTTGGGTGTCGTTCTTAAAACGTTATTATACAAAATAAAAATTCACAAATTATTTTGTCAGTTAATGACAAAAATTTATTTATAATTTTCACATTAGCGCGTATGCGTAAACACATTTACTTGGTAATAATGTACAGAGGCAATAAGTTGACTTTGCAAAGTTATTACATTATCATAATATCATGTACATAAGATTCTGTAAATATTAAATATGTATGTACAATGTATTAAATGTTTCCCTACAAATAACATTTGCGTTAATCTGAGATTTTATTCACAGCCAGAAAAACGACAACCTAGTTTCACGCCCGCACAACACCACACAGTCACACAGCACACGTTCAGTTATCCAAGCATCTTCTCAGTGACGAACTTTCTCCGTTGGGTTTGAATGTCTCGTAAAAAATGCTTACAAAAATTATGTTGCGATTTGAATCTTTAAAAATTATTGTAAATTAAAAGTCCTTTAAATTTTTATGGAAAATTTTTTTTATATTATGCAATTTTGTATCGAGTATTTATTTCTTGCAAAATGAACATGCAAACAGTTCAATTACAAACATACATCCAACATTAAAACTTATATACATACATACGAAATATAAGAACAAACATACACATACACACGAAAAAACAAACCAACGTACACATATACACATACAAACATAACATATAAACAGACATACATCTACGTAGAAATATACATACACATAAAAAAACAGAATGAACACAAACACAGGTTTATCAACTCAACATAACAGTATCACCCGGGTTGTTTTTTGTTTCAGATTTATTTTCATTTGTTTCACCAATGGAGACTTATACGTATGAACTTTTACCAAAAAGTTTTTATTTTCGGCTATTGAATAAACTTTTTTCATTATGAAGTGTTACCCATGTATAAACTGCATGTTAGACAGAAAAGAGAACATACATACACACACAGACACGCACAAAAACACATATATACAAATACATACATACATAGATATATACAATAAATAAATACACACACATACATACACACATAAACATAATTATATCATGTATATATCTATCTGTTGGCATGTCTTTTTACACAGCAATAGTTAATATCATTAAATTACAAGTTTATTTTTACGGATTTTTATTTATTATTTAAGAATATATTACAAGAATATAGCATAAGTATATGTACATAGTCGCGAATATAATTTATATGGTAATATATGTATGATTAGTAAGATATGAATAATAACGATGGTTTTCTGCTAATTTAAATTTTCAACATAGACATCTAATAAGTAACATTAATAATTTAAACTGTAAATTAATTAAAGCTAAAATATCGGTGAATTTCATAAAAACTGTTCATATGTATATATATATATATATATAAAAATATATTATATATATATATATTATGTATATATATATATATATTATATATGTATGTAATGTATATATGAAGTAAGATGTATTGTATTGATCATAACCAAAGAAGAACCATTGTAAAGACTCAAAGATGTTTCTATTTTGTTAACCGATCTTGCCGTTAAACCGATAGATGAATGAAAAAAAATGAACAATTCATTTTTTTTATCCATTTCAACAAAACCATGTCATGTTGTTGCGTTAATTATGAAAGTAATTTAACGCTAAATGTTTTAATGTACCTATTACGCAGATGGTCAGATCATGTATGTCGCGGTCTCGCTAGCCCGTTTCTTGCTCGCCGCGTAAGGCTTCATCTGTAGAATTTCTTTGTACACGTGCATGTTTTAACACTACTGGCAATGTATTAAGTGTCGCTAGCCCGTTTCTTGCTCGCCGCGTAAGGCTTCATCTGTAGAATTTCTTTGTACACGTGCATGTTTTAACACTACTCGCAATGTATTTATGTGTAAATTTTAATAAGGAAACATTTAGGCACGGAGCTTTCTTTGTTAACAATATATTGATAAATATGGGCGGGCAATTGCTTTCTCAACTGTCATTGACTTATTAGTATGAGGTGTACCATAGCTATTTGATGTTTTGTTGTATGTTTGGTTTTTAATTAAGATGAATATGTAGTAATTATAAGTTTATGATAATAATCTAGGTGATGATTCTTCAAAAAGTTACGTTTAATTATTAATGAAATAATTAATTCTTTTATGGTTTAGCAATAATTTTTTAATTTTTTTTATTATGATTTTATTTCTAAATAGTTTTTTAAATGCGGTCAATACGCACATGTTGAATTTTTGGAAAATTATTTGTAAGCAATTTAAACTGTGATTTTCAGAACATAATTTTTATTTAAATTTTTAATTGCATTAAACATATTATTATTAATTAAATTACATTTAATTTAAAATCGCATAATTAATATGTATTTAAATGCTTAGAAAACTTCCTAAATAACTGACTCTTATAACACCAAATCAGCATAACGTTAAACTTGAACGTTAAGAAGTTATTTACGGATAATATTTTTTTTTATTAGTCTTTAATATTGCAGCTCTGACATACGCAGAACCACTAACAATGTTACAGTTATATTATTTGTAACATTCGAATAAATTTATCTATGTGTTATCAAATCTTTAATTAAATTTTATTGATTTATTTATTTTATAAAGAATTAATTTTTTATTTATTAAATTTTCAACCGATTTATAAAAACCAAGTTATAATTTTCACGTCGATTATGATTAAAAACTTTTCATGTGCGTGTACTAACAAAATACCCGCAATTTAATGACATAATTTTTTGTTAATTTTTAATTTCAATTATTTAAACAGAAATAATCCTGAACAGCATACATATCCTATGATGAGAGATTGTGTTATATGAGAAATTTGTCTGTTTGATGTCTCTAATGTTTTTCACTGTTTGTGTGTTGTGTGTGTGTGTGTGTTTGTTCTTTTGTTTGTCTATCTGTCTGTCTGTATATTTGTTTGCTGATTGTTTATTTGTTTGTCTGTTTGTTTGTATCATAAAATGCCAGGCTTCAGACTTTATTTATTCAGTTTTGCGTATAACGAAACACTTTTTAACAAGGCTCCATTTAAAACAAAGCAGTTCACCACAACAATGACAGAAACGATGCACCCGCCCATGCGATGATACCTACTGTTACTGGCATTTTCATGATCGTAGTCATCAGTTACTTGGTTGCATTGTTTCAAAATGATGTTCAATCAAAGTGACATATGTAAGAAGTTACATTCGGCAGAAATACTCAACATTTTATATTTTATTTCAATTTTTCACTGGGATTCAAGTTTTCAAAAAAAAATTATATATAATTTTTTTCCTTGTTTTGTAATTTTATCGAAAACTTTTATTTTGAATCATGTTGAAGCGGCGTGAGATTGTTTAAATGCTAATTTGTTTGTTGTTACGTTTGGTTGATGGTTTTGTCTACTGATTGACAAGATGGATCGACTTCATTATGTTCTCATGACGTTGTTGATCTTAAATTACTTCTCTGCTATCATCATCTATGACGTGAACCATGTACAAATAGTTGATAAGAATAAAAAATTGTGATTAAATATTTAATTGAATTCATATTTGTATTATTTAAACTGCATTGTATTTGTACCAATATAAAAATAACGCTGTGACTACTTACAAACCACAAATTAATGATATTGATTTCGAATTGGTTTCAACGATGCTATTCATTGTTAAAGATTGGAATTTAGAGATTCTGGGAATGCTGAAATGTGTGCGTTTGGAAGCGTTGAAGATTAACTATGATGGTGGAAAGCTGCAGGTAAGGGTGATTGATAGTTAATGGTGGAAAAGTGATGAAAGAGTTATAATGATAATTTTGATGACGTCGCCATGATGATGTTAAACGAAAATATATTAACAATGACATTCACTTTTTTCATAATTACATGTAACTAATCAACAACATGCTGTAAATGTTTTTTAAAAAAATAAAATTGAAACGAGAAATCTTCCTTAATTAGTGATTTTAAAATTTAAAATAAAAAACGTATTCGACTATGCTTTTATTTTTTTACAGAGAAAAAATTGAAATTTAATTATCATTTATCAGAATAAATATGAAAAACACTAACATTTAACATTAATGAAACTTCTGGTTCGTCAGAAAAAATTCAAATTATAGTTTACAAATATATATAGTTGGAAAATAAAAAACATAAAAAACCGACATTTGTTGGAATTGTTTGTCAAGGTAATTTACAAGAATAAAAATAGAGTATTGTTCTCAAGAATTAATTAAAAAATATTATATCTTTTTTTAATGGCTACCTATATAGGAAGTATTGAAATAAAGTTTATAAAAATTTCTAATCTAACTATTGCTGATAGATTAGTAAATAGAAGGTAGGATGATGCTAAGGTCCTTTAGTTGAACGAATCGATTTAAACATAAAAAAAATTCAAAGACGGATATAGATTTTTAATAAAAATTGTATTCAGACGTGAAATTTTTTTGTATATTTCTAACTTTTCATAATTTTAAAGATTGTAAACGACTAGTGAGGAATAAAGAATAATTTATTGATTGAGAAATATGGCAAAACGAATGAAATGATAAGAAAATTGAAATATACATTAAATTCATTTTTATATTTAAAAAATTAATTATATAAAGAGAAAAATAAATTAACCTCTATATTTTTAAAGGTCTACACTCAACAGCATTTAAAATTAAAAAAAGTTGATTTGAAATAGTTGTCTAGAAAATATAGATATAGATTTTTTATAGGAAATTCTTTTATAAAAATAAAATTTTAAAGGGAAGCCACTTATAAATATTAATAATTCAAAATGTATTTACAATTTTAAAATATATATTTTGAAATATTTGTTTGTTTATATGTATTAATTGAATGATTGATTTATGTATTAATAAAAACTAAAAGTTGTGCGCATAATAAAATGCCTCAAAATTTCAAACCAAAATATATTTATTATCGGATATTTTAAAAATTAAAGATGGATAGGTACTTGGCTAAAAATATATAAATGATAATAAACATATATCTGATTCATTTATTCATTCATTCACTTATTTCTTAATTTATACTGTAATTTATTTATTCATTCATTCATTCGTTCGTTCGTTCATTCATTCATTCATTCATTCATTCATTCACTCATTCATTCATTCATTCATTCATTCATTCATTCATTCATTCATTCATTCATTCATTCATTCGTTCGTTCGTTCGTTCATTCATTCATTCGTTCGTTCGTTCGTTCATTCATTCATTCATTCATTCAAAGTGTTTAAAGAATATATAAATATTGAATGACGGCATGGACAAACAGAAAAACAGTGTTCGCTCTTAACTCGCCCCAACACTCATCACTAATCCACACACCAATACACATGCACGCACGCACGCACACAGGTGCACACGTACACACACTTTTCTTTCATCACTCGGTTTTATTTTTTGTTTTCTTTCGTGCAGAGGTTTGTTTGAGTTTGACGGTTCATGAATATGTCATTATGTGGTTTTCCGCTTTGTTCGACTGGTGGCCAAAAAATATTGTCAGCAGATGGATAGTTTCTGTGAAGTGTAGTCGCTTCCAACTGTATTTTTTTTGTTAATGTTGTTGTTGGTGGTGGTGCTTGCTTGTTGTGTGACTCTGATATCGTTTTTATGTGTTTGTTGTTTGGTTGTGTTGTTGTAGGTTTGTTGACTAGTTGTGCTGTTGTTGGTTTGTTGGCTGGTTGTGTTGTTGTTAAGTAAAGAGGGTTTGTTTGGATGTTCCAAAGTGAGGAGTGATGAAGATGTTTATGCGGCTGGTCTTGTTGCAGATGATGGTGTTGAAGATCGTAGTTTTGTTGATGGTGCTGACGTAGGTGGTGATGTTGGTGGTAATTAAATTGGTTGCTAGAAAACTGGTTTTGATCGTTCGTCAATTTTGTTTGCTGTAAATTGGAAATGATTTGCTGTCTGTTCGAGATGTCATTATTAGAGTTTCTGATGTTATCGTTTCTGATGTTGTCGGTTGAAATGTAAACGAACGCAACGGGTAATGAATGATCTTTCGGCAAATTAGTTTTGTTGTAAACTGTGCCATCTTCTTGAAGATCGAAACGACAGTTCGGTTGGGTCAACTTTCTAATGCATTCTCTATCGTTGTAGCAATGTATATCACTGTCTATCTTTGTCGTCGTTGCGAGATTCAAACTACACCGAGGCCTGTGATAGCGCATCAACATTTGTTGACTGGTCTCGTGGTTCGCGTTTTTATGCAGCAGTTTTGGCAGTTGAGACTGGTGTGAAACGTTGCAGAGGATGCTTCCGTAGCCCCCACGCGCTTGATCCAGTAACGTCAATGTCGTCGAAACCGGATACACGTGACTTTCTCGATGAGTGGAATGGTGGCGATTACTGTTAGTGACCACCTCAACTTCCTGAACGTCATCTGCTTCCGACTTACGACCGCAGAATGTTAGGTGGCGACGTTTTGTTTCAAGGTGGAGGAAGACAGCGCAACAGATAAAGACGACGAGACCAGGCCACAACATGCTGTGAACGACGTCTGACAAACTGTACAACTGTTAGTGGTTAATGACAAGTTTGCTCATTTTCAATAAAACATTCATTTAAAAAAATCAATCAGTAACATTTTGATATACCTAAGTTCTATCTATTTTGGGTTTTTGAAATTAGATGCAATTATTTACAATTCAAAATCAGCATGATCAACAAATTTTTTTAATTTTGATTCGGAAATGCACATGAATATTGTGTAAAATGGATAATTCTTCAAAAATATAGTTCAAATTCGCACTTCATTCTGCAAATCAATGAATTCATTGAACTGAATTCATTTCGTCAATGTAAGTTTTTCAACAATTTCACCACTGAGTTGATTCTAACGTAAACGTGTAATTTAATTAGTTGTTAGTTTTGTTGTTGTTATTTATTTTTGCTGTCATTTAGGCTGATTGAAGTTGTTGTTTTCAGCTGTTAGAAGCAGGCGATACAAAATATCTTATACAAATATCGATTTGAACACGTGTCAGTGAAGAGGCGGTTGAAAGATTGTTTCCGAGACACTGAGCGTTTTTCAACAACAAATATTTAAATTTAACAAAATTAATCACATTTTTTATGTTGTTCAGAATAAAAAAATACTCAAAAGTGTTTGAAAAATTTTGAAATGCGTACATGAATGAATGAAATAGCGCTCATCCACAACCAAACTATTTCAATATTTTATTGGTTTAATGTTCAAGATTCAAAATATTTCAGTTTCAGAGTATTTTAAAGCCATATTTTTAAGATTGAAAGATTTACTTTATTTATTTATTAATTTATTTATTTCTGTTATCAAAGTCAACAAGAAATAGAAAGGCATCTTCCAAAAGTTAAAAGAATGTACTGAAAGATATTGATTTAAACATGGAAAACTCTAAGTGTACAATTCAACAATCCAATCATCTTGTAAATGGTTTGACACGTAAAAGTCGACACATTTAAAAAGAACTAATTATATTTTTCCATTTCGTCAGTGTTTAACAGCATAAATGATATGAACCTTGACTTACATTTTAGAAAACAACAATTTGAAAGCACCCATTAAAGCAAATTGTAATACATTAAATCGTGCACAACATGAATAAATTTACTTTCGAAATAGTAGAACAAGGTTGCAATAAAAGCTTTTACCATTGTTCAAGCTGAAAATATAAACCAAGAAGTTGATTACCGTGGCCACACATACATTTAAAAACTAAATCAAAATTTTGTCCATAAGCAAATTTTAACAATATTTGTAGCTGATAAATAGGAATTTATTGTGGAGACAAAAAACCATAAATAAAAAACCATTTATATTCTCATACTTTTTATTGACGAACATGAAACATCTAACTATCTTGATCTAATAATAATGTTACAATTATATTTTTCTTATTCACCAATTTCGCAAAACCGGGACTTCTTTAATAGCGACACACACACAAACTCACACACAAATGCACACACACACAGACACACATACACACACAAACACACACACATAAACTCCAACTGACAGATGTATCACAAACATTAAGCGTGTCTCCGAATTTCTTGCCTGCCATCATTCACGGGCCGATAATGAATAACCAGGTAATTAATCTCTTCAGCATGTTATCATCTCAAGTACATAACAACACTAAATCACTTCATTAAGAAGATGAACACGCTGTTGTGAATCATATTGAGTCTGTTTTCATAATCAAATCATTGCGACTTCACATTATACAAAATTAAAAAAATTAAAATTCAAATACTGCTTCATAAGTTTCTCCTTAAACATTTTACTGAACATTCAGAAAGGAAATTGAATTTTTTTGTTTCTGCAAAATTTTTGTAATTCAGAAGAAACTGAAAATCCGGTTATAAAATTTATACATGCTTTAATATTGGTGTTTTATGGTGTTGTTTGTGCGGACAAAAAGTTTGTTCATATTTACATCTTTACATATATACATAAATACATACATACATACATTTATACATACATACATACATACATACATACATACATACATACTGTCAGAATTATGAAATAATGCTGACTAAAAATACTGCAAAATTTTCAACGCGAAATTTATTCACTCGATAGGGGGCATGGTGCAAGTTAATTTACTCGATAGGTGATGACGATTTTCTTTGTTTTGCAATTTAGATGACGTCATAAATTATTACAAATTATTTTAAAATTTAATTAATACTTTTTCTGATTAATTGGACATGCCTTGTAAATTTTTATATTTTAAAACACCCGAAACAAAATCTAATTTTGCCTTGATAACGAAGGGTGTGAAAAAGAAAAACGGGGGTTGACTAGTGAGGCAGCTTCGAATAATCAGTGCCTCTTCTGGTCCCTAAGAGACTTAACGCGTGATTCTATGCTCATTGGCATAGTTTCAGAAACGTCTTAAGTTCTCAAAGAGTCAGCCTTGGGTTCACCAGTTAGGCAGCTTCGAGTAATCAGTGCCTGTTCTGGTATCTAAGAGACTTAACGCGTGATTCTATGCTCATTGGCATAGTTTCAGAAACGCCTTAAGTTCTCAAAAGTGGATTCAGTACGAGACTCTATGCTCATTGGCATAGTTTCGCACGCGTACTGAAGACACACAATTTGTTACCAGTGTTGTTCTGACTCTTGTTGTCTTGTGTTGGTCGTGCGAAAGCCGATCAGACTTGACGGCCCAGTAAAAACAGGCCGGGGTTGTGCGAAAGCCGACCGACTGACTGACAGGCCCAGTGAAAACAGGCCTTGGGTTCTGTGAAAACCAATCCGCCTCCTTCTTTTCTTTCTTGTGCTATTTGTCGACCTAGGGTTCTTTGCTGGGTTCTATACTCATTGGTATAGTTTCACACGCAGCTTGGAATTTCCATAGGCTTCGATTTTTGTTATTCATTTTTTTATTTATTTCTTGGGGTTGTATCGACATCACCATCGGATACACACGTCGAGGTTGTACGATTAAACGGCAAGAAACATTTCCCAAGTTGAAGACCCCAACAAGAAGAGTTCTAATTCCTGTATTCCAGTTTGTTCATTGACATTTACATTATTATTGAGTTCATTAGTTCAATTCCTTTATTTATTTCCGTCGATTAATAAAATTGTTATCGAATATTTTTACGCGTTCGTGTGTTACTCAGTAAAATCATATAATTCGAAAAAGCCCAGTGCCACACAGGACTGGTCGAACTCACGATAAAAATATACACAAAAATTATTGTCGGACCATACAAAAATTCCCTGAGAAAGATAGAGGAGGAGATTACCTCACACCACCAGCTGTTTTAATTGTTTTCATTTTATAAATTTTCCGACAATTAGCGCCCAACTTGGGGCTTTGTCATCCTTTAAAAAAAATCCTACTCCTCATTTTTATTATTATTATAAAATCGCCCCATTTTAAATTTTATTATTATAAAATTTACGTACATACATACATACATACATACATACATACATACATTTATTGGTTGCAGGGGACGCTGCCTATATGTGTTGGTGGCCTGGGTTTCGGTTCCGCGGCTAAGCTGGCACCTTCTGCCTTTTTGGCTTCTGCTGCTGCCACGGTGGCCCTCCAGAATCTGATGTTGCCAAGGGATGGGATTTATGTCGATAACTTCAGAATGCAAGTATACGACATGTGGCGCACCACCAACGGAGATGTGGTTGCGCTCGAAAACCCCTCGCAAAAACACTGGATCGCTCCCTGTCTTAATAGATCAGTTGATCGATGGCTGCAACTGAATGGCTCCACTTTTGACAAGACTAGAATTATGGCTGTCAAAAGTGAGTTGGGCTCCTCCTGGTTGAGAGCGCTACCCAACACCTCCTGCGGCACTAGATTGGATGACTCCTGTGTTCGCGTGAGCCTTGGTTTGAGACTCGGAGCCCAGATCGTCACCGAATACGAATGCGCATGTGGAGCAAGGGTTGATGAACTTGGATACCATAGCCTTTCTAGTCGTCTAGGTCCTGGAAGAAAAGCCAGACATACGGCTGTCAACGAATACCTGGTACGATGTTTTCAAAAGGCTGGTATCCCGGTTATAAAAGAACCCATGGGTTTGATAGAGAAAGGAGCCTTTAGGCCTGATGGTTACACTATCACCCCATGGGCTCAGGGACGGTCCCTGGCTTGGGACGTTACCTTACCCCACACTATGGCTGACCGATATATCGGCTACATTTCAGTGGAGGCGGGCACTGCTGCCCTTAAAGCGTCCGATTTCAAAAATGAAAAATACATACGTTTCATTAAACAATTTAAGCAAAATATTTCAACCCATTTGCATTGAAACGTTCGGACCAACAGATAAGCACACATCATTATTTATTAACGAATTAACAAGAAAAATAGTTAATATAACGGGTGATCCTAACGAAGGCAATTACTTAAAACAAACTCTTTCACTTTTATTACAAAAATTTAATTCCTTTTGCATTCTGGATGGAGCTGCTAGATACCTGACTGTGCGAGACCAGGGACATAGATAAAAGTTGAACTCGGAAACGATTGCATGCCTAACCATGGCTTGTTCATCAAAACGTGTTCATACATACATACATAAATACATACATACATACATACATACATACATACATACATACATACATACATACATACATACATACATACATACATACATACATACATACATACATACATGCATACATGCATACATACATACATACATACATACATACATGCATACATGCATACATGCATACATACATACATACATACATACATACATACATGCATGCATACATGCATGCATACATATATGCATACATATATGCATAAATGCATATTACGCAATTTCAAAAAATCACTAAACAGGTCTTCAAAGTTTGATTTCCTCTTTCGTTTTTTCCAGACTGGACTATTGCAATGGTCTTTTTTATGGTGGCACCAAAAGGTCTTTTTCTAAGCTTCAGTCAATACAGAATCGTGCGGCCAAGCTGGTTTTGGGTGGTTCGTGGTTCGATCACATTACGCCTATTTTTAATAAGTTGCACTGGTTGAGGGTTGAGAAACGTGTTTCTTTCAAGTTAGCTGTTTTGATGTTTAAATGTGTCAATAATGCAGCACCTACCTATCTCATTGATAGATTGGAATCATACAAATCTTATTTTTCAAAATATTCCTTCCGATCAACCGAGCGCAATTTATTTTTTATCCCCGACTACAAAGTTAGTGACGGGTTCCCGCAACTTTGCGGTTCTTGGCTCAGTTGTTTGGAATGGTTTACCTCCTTACTTACGTGACCCTAACCTATCATATTTACAATTTCGAAGTCAGCTTAAAACTTATTTATTTGCACGATAAACGTCCGTCTTATTTGTGTATGATTCAGTAGCGCTTTTGAGTTTCAACAATTAAAAAGTGCTGTATATAAATTTCCGTAATTATAATAATAATAATGCATACATACATACATGCATACATACATACATATGTACAAATATACAAGCATACAGACAAATAAACATGCATGCATACCATACATACAAACGTACATACATCAGATGTTACATCATTTGCCAATAAGTCATGTGCTTATCTTTGAGACTTTTTAAAATGTTTTGTCTGCGCATTTTGCACAAAAAATAAATATGAATGTCTGACCCTCCGAGACATAAACATACCAATCTATCTTTTTTCCTTTTTGCAATTGATTTTATTGTTGATTCATTTTTGTCTTCATTTTTTTATTGTTTGTAAAATTTGTCGTCGGTATTGTGTATAATTATCAGTTTAAACTTATGTGTGTTAATAGTATGTGTAGGTGTGTCTCTATCGGCACAATATGAAATCAAGAAGTGCAAAAATTAGCAGCAAACATTGTCAGACTAGACAGAGGTGGGAACGTTAATTAATTCGCATCATAAAAAACATTAGAACAAACATGAAAACAAACATACGAACAAACATGCAAACAAACATAAAAAAATACAAACCAACGTGCGAACAAGTTTACCTCAACGAACATTAATCAAACCTACCGAAGTACCTAAATACATGTTACAAATATGGAATGCATGAAGGTATGAAGATACAGCTGACTGATTATAAGACAAATAAAGGTAAATAAATTCATTCATTATAAATGTACAAGCATTTATGAACATATATGAATAAATATAATATTCTAAAACGAAGTACAAACATTTAACTATTAACGCCTATTAACTAACTATTAAATTAAAACAAAAAACTATTAACGCCAAACATTCGGTAGAATTTATAAGACATTGTAAAAATTATGGTCTTTTACCAAAATTTACTTGAATAAAATAAATATACATTATAAATTTTTTCCAAATTTTAGCCCATAATATAAAAATATTGTTTACAAACATAAAAAAGATGTTTTGAATAAAGTATTTATAATGTATGAATGTATGCGAGCCTATAATAACAAAACCCTATGAAATGTCTCCGAACGAATATAATAATAAACGCCAAACGACATAGTTAATGTCGGATATGAACAAAGAATGATCCACACAAAAACAAACACACAAACACACACACAAATGTTGACCTAACTAAAAAATATGTTTGAACATAAGATAGGAGACACATAAACATGTTAGAATGTAAGCCTTAAAAACGCATGTAAATTTTCAAGCTTACGCGCAAGCATATGCTGCGTTAACAGGGGGGGGGGGTCATAAGGTTAACTAGATGCATTTAATATGTTGATTTTAGAATGGCTGTGAGTGCTTTTCATTATTATCATTACAACAACTCTTATTCAACTCTTAGCAGAAATCACGTCATAATTTGTTGCGGGTTTATTTTTTCTACAAAATATTCTCACGTAGGAAGAAAGCATACTGAAGTCTTGAACAAACAAACACGTGTGCATCGTAAGATGAAAGAGAGATCAAATAGGCTGGATGGGTAGTGTACATCGCCGTGCATGGCTCACTGCGGTGCTCGCTCACAATAACACGGAAAGAAATATCATCGCACATGACAGCATCACAATCACTTCCAGTGTACAATCTACATATACAATACTTTCTATTTATGATATCTTCTTGTTTATATCCGTATATTTATCCAAGATAGGAAAAAAAGTGAGTAAAGAGAAGGACGAATAAATGAAGAGAAAAATGAATGATTGAGTAATTGAGTAGTGAGTGAGTGAGTGAGTGAGTGAGTGAGTGAGTGAGTGAGTGAGTGAGTGAGTGAGTGAGTGAGTGAGTGAGTGAGTGAGTGAGTGAGTGAGTGAGTGAGTGAGTGAGTGAGTGAGTGAGTGAGTGAGTGAGTGAGTGAGTGAGTGAGTGAGTGAGTGAGTGAGTGAGTGAGTGAGTGAGTGAGTGAGTGAGTGAGTGAGTGAGTGAGTGAGTGAGTGAGTGAGTGAGTGAGTGAGTGAGTGAGTGAGTGAGTGAGTGAGTGAGTGAGTGAGTGAGTGAGTGAGTGAGTGAGTGAGTGAGTGAGTGAGTGAGTGAGTGAGTGAGTGAGTGAGTGAGTGAGTGAGTAAGCCGCACCCTGTCTACCAAATTTCTTGGAATCACCATCACAGAAAATCTTTCATGGAATTCTCACCTACAAACTACCTCAGACAAAATCAACAAACTCACAGGCATCTTCTACAAAATCAAATATAAACTCTCTCTTTCTGCTCTACACACGCTTTATTACACATTCATCTACCCTTATCTAACCTACTGCATCACACTATGGGGAAATAGTCCAAAAAGCCACCTGAATAACCTAATACTTTCCCAAAAAAGATCAATACGTTTAATTTTTAACCTCAAACCCGATTCTCATACTAAACCCTTCTTCCTAGCAAAAAAAATTTTACCACTTAACTTCATCTGTCTTTACTACTCTGCTTTATTCGTTTTTAAATTTATCAACAATCTTCTTGCACCTCACTTCATCAACTTCTGCGCATTAAGTAACTCCGTTCAATCTACAACCACTAGACACACCCCTCTCTTCTATATCTACAAAACTCGCCTCAAATTAATCCAGACAAGCATAAAAATAACAGGTCCTAAAATTTGGACAGAACTTGTACCTCCCCATCTAAGAGCCATCATAAACCTACAACATTTCGAGTCAAAATTCCGTGCTTTTTTATTGACACTGGATCTCGACTCCACCACCTAATATTATATTAAGAATACGTTAGAACAAATGATGCGGATGAATGGTCTTTATGAATGGTTAAACATTTATGTGTTTATATATGTAGTGAGCGAACATTTACATAGTTATATGTCTATATATGTATGACACGAACATTTACTTATTTATCTTCAATTAGCTTTCTGCTTCAGTTATTTTCCTTATTTTATTTCATTAACTATTCATGTATCTACCAGCGGTGGCCACCACAAGACAAACATTCTTATTCGGTCTCCGCTTATTCAACTTCATAACTTTTATTCACTTATTTGATATGTTGTTGATTATGAATAAAACTTTGAAATGAAAAATTAAAATGTATGTATGTATGTATGTATGTATGTATGTATGTATGTATGTATGTATGTATGTATGTATGTATGTATGTATGTATGTATGTATGTATGTATGTATGTATGTATGTATGTATGTATGTATGTATGTATGTATGTATGTATGTATGTATGTATGTATGTATGTATGTATGTATGTATGTATGTATGTATGTATGTATGTATGTATGTATGTATGTATGTATGTATGTATGTATGTATGTATGTATGTATGTATGTATGTATGTATGTATGTATGTATGTATGTATGTATGTATGTATGTATGTATGTATGTATGTATGTATGTATGTATGTATGTATGTATGTATGTATGTATGTATGTATGTATGTATGTATGTATGTATGTATGTATGTATGTATGTATGTATGTATGAACTAATTAATTTTAATTGAATATTGAACACATGTAACAAGGTGATTGAGCTAGATGAGCACATTTTTGAGCTCGATCGCTGTCATCCTGCCTCTTCATAATTATTTCTATGATAAGCAAATGAAAGTTCGTTTCGTTTCTAATGAATATATGTACGCATGATTGTATGTATGAATGTATGAATGCACGTACTCGTGATTGTGTATGTACTTACAAGTATGTGTGTATATAAATATGTGTGTATAAATGTATATATAGGTGATGAAAACTGCTTTTTGCGGGTGTCGGGATTTATTAGCACGTTGTCTAATAAAGAGGCTCATCGTAATCGTCGCTGTGAATGATGTATGAAACTCATTGCAAGTGACTCCATCTGAAGGTCAACTCACCTACTGGTAGTTAGTTTCTTTCCAATTTGTTGTATGGTGAAGAGCGTCTCGACTAAAAGCTTTTGACGTAAAACATAAAAAATTTGTTTTTCGTATTTTTCTTCTAGTCAAAGTGTCAAAACAATAGTCACCTGGGTTAGGCCTCTACTAGAACTAGCTAACCGAGAAAGCAGTGTACAGCGTTTGTCATCATTAGCTATACTGGACATCAGACACCGGTTCATTGAACACAAAAGTTGAAACTTTGAAAGCAAACCAGCTTACGTTAGCAGAATTTGTTTGTTTCATATTAGGTGAATGCTTGTGAAAAAATGGTTTTGCAATAAAAAGTTTTTAATTGTTCAATGACACTAGATGTGCTTAATATAAATGTTGAGGAGTTGAAAACCAATTAAGCATATTCTATTTTTTTCAAAAAACGCAACTGTAGAATTGATTTTTTTCCATGTAAATCAATGTGTGCTTATCAGCTTATTATATTTTTTATGATGTGAAAAATAAGAAATAATTGTGGTGGAAAAAGTGTGTATGAAGGATGGAGAACATTTTTCACACTCCAATCAACCACGACTTGTTAGTTTGTTTTTCATTTTACGTGTTAACGTTGAATTTTTACAAACATAAATGCCAACTAAAGTGCCCATCTTCATAACAATTGCACAAGAAAACGTACACCTGTGTCAGATACACAAACATACACACACAAACACACACACACATGTATATAATTATTAAAATACACCGATGTTTGTGTGTGTGTGTGTTTGTTTGTTTGTACATTTTTTTGACTCTATCTGTACGCTTCAACGCGACAACGTGGAAGATAACTTTGTATGCTCTGCACCGAGACCATTGTATTATTCAATGGTTTTGCCATATATTACATATTGCATATCTATTTGGGGTTTTAGTACAAAGACAAATATCCATATTTTAAACGTTTGTCAAAATTTTTTTCTTCGTATACTGTTTGGTTTAACTAAATCTGATCACATTAGTCATTTTTATGCGTCATCAAAAATTTTTAAAATTTGTCAATAACACATTCTATTTACTTTATTGTTTTTTTTTATAAATTATTTAAATTAAATTACTGCCCCTCATTAAACCGTCAGATCAATCATTTATTAAATCACCGTTCCATAGTTTTAAGAAATAACCCGGATTTTTACTTACCGAAACCTCGTACAAATTTCATAATTAATTCTGTTTTTCATGTATCAAGTCGGTTATGGAATATTTTACCAATGCATGTTAAAAATTTGCCAACGCTAGGATCGTTTCAACAGTCTGTTCATCATTTAATCTTGGAAAATTATTTTTCATCGTTTAATTGTACGTTTTCTTGTGCAATTGTTATGAAGACAGGCACTTTAGTTGGCATTTATGTTTGTCAAATTTGAGGCGTTCGTGTCATACATATATAGACATATAACTATGTAAATGTTTGCTCAGTACATATATAAACACATAAATGTTTAACCATTCATAAAGACCATTCATCCGCATCATTTGTTCTAACGTATTCTTAATATAATATTAGGTGGTGGAGTCGAGATCCAGTGTCAATAAAAAAGCACGGAATTTTGACTCGAAATGTTGTAGGTTTATGATGGCTCTTAGATGGGGAGGTACAAGTTCTGTCCAAATTTTAGGACCTGTTATTTTTATGCTTGTCTGGATTAATTTGAGGCGAGTTTTGTAGATATAGAAGAGAGGGGTGTGTCTAGTGGTTGTAGATTGAACGGAGTTACTTAATGCGCAGAAGTTGATAAAGTGAGGTGCAAGAAGATTGTTGATAAATTTAAAAACGAATAAAGCAGAGTAGTAAAGACAGATGAAGTTAAGTGGTAAAATTTTTTTTGCTAGGAAGAAGGGTTTAGTATGAGAATCGGGTTTGAGGTTAAAAATTAAACGTATTGATCTTTTTTGGGAAAGTATTAGGTTATTCAGGTGGCTTTTTGAACTATTTCCCCATAGTGTGATGCAGTAGGTTAGATAAGGGTAGATGAATGTGTAATAAAGCGTGCGAAGAGCAGAAAGAGAGAGTTTATATTTGATTTTGTAGAAGATGCCTGTGAGTTTGTTGATTTTGTCTGAGGTAGTTTGTAGGTGAGAATTCCATGAAAGATTTTATGTGATGGTGATTCCAAGAAATTTGGTAGACAGGGTGCGGCTTATAGGAACACCATTAACTAATAGGTTTAGGTTAGGAGCTTGGTTGGTGAGTATTTTTGGGCCAAAAATAATGTATGCACATTTCGAATAATTTATGATTAGTTTGTTATTGGATAACCAGTTAGAGTATTTTTGGAGTTCAAGATTGATATGTTTAGAGCAATCAGCAATACATACATACATACATACATACATACATGCATACATACATACATACATACATACATACATACATACATACATACCTTGGAGAACCGGTAGATGTATGGCGTGGGATGTTACGGTCTCTGGCACCCTTGCCGAAGGATATGTAAATCTAACAAGTAAAGAATGCGGTTTGGCCGCGGCCAGGACAGCGGACGAAAAAATGAAAAAATATGGGAACGCCCTCCCCTCGATGGAATTCTTGCCAATATGTATCGAGTTCTTGGCCCGATGGACCCCAACACCCTTAAATTTTTTAAGGCAATATGTAAAATGATCAGCGTCAGATCAGGCGACAGCAGGGAACTGTTTTTCGCAACTAACCACATTTCGTGCTTGTTGCAGCGGTTCCTGCGTGTCTGTGTGCTTGAAAATATCCAGCTGAATGCCGACATGTGCAATTAACGACAAATCAAAGTGTTAATCCATTTGTTACTTTATGTTTGACGGTTCAGTGTCACTCATCATGTTTTGGTTTTAACATACATACATACATACATACATACATACATACATACATACATACATACATACATACATACATACATACATACATACATCCATCCATACATACATACATACATACATACATACATACATACATACATGCATGCATACTTACTTATCACCATACATACATACCATAAAATATAGATATATATATATATATATATATATATATATATATATATAACTACATACATGCTTACATAATACAAAGATACATACGCAAACATCCTTATACTTTATACATAAAATATTCTGTACAAACATAGACGCATATATGCACCTGATGTGATCTTAAACTGAGATGGCTGCTTCACCTGTCTGCCATTCATTCATTCATTCCTTTTCCATTCATTCATTTAATAATTTTTTCATTCATTCCATCATTCATTCCTTTCTTTATTCATTCATTCATTCATTCATCGACTGTGTTAGTTGGTATGATATCGACGCATGAATGTTACAGCTAATGATGCCATGTGTTCGAACGACCGACGTACACGCAGCTACCATTAGCCACACACGTACGTACAGCAGAGCACACCCGTCTTTCTAATAAGTTTCACTTGAGCGTGTTTGATTAACAAGATGAAATATGTTAAACTACAGAGTCTCTCTAAATCAGGGTTTGCTAGCTTCATACACTGGATACTTTCATACATTTGGATACTTTCATACACGTGGTTACAGTCATACGTGTGATACATTCATGCATTTGTATGCGTTCATACGTGTGGATAAAATAATGAAATCATAGAAATTCAGATAATGTAACATTTGCAACTATAAGTTGTTGCTTTTATTAATGTTGTTATTTATAGTTTTGCAAAAATTCATAAATTTTGTATTAGTTGGGATCGCAGGAATACTTTAAGAACCCTCTAGATAGTAAGTAAAATTTAAATTTAAAGGTTCATCAATGAGTCATCATGAAGCGAGGATTCATTCGCAATTTTTTTGACTCATCAGATTGTATACAAACATCCATGCGTACGTATGCAATATACTTCCCACGCAAACGCAAACACGTACAAGTATATGAACAAACAAACAAACACACACGCCGGTTGTACGTTAAAAGTTGCATACATACAAACAAAACTAATATTGGAAAAACAAAAATATCTGACAAAATATACATTTATACATATCAAAAGATTTTGTAGACGCATCAAAACGCACGCACGCACGCACAAGCATACAAGCAGGAATGAGCGGTCAACAAAGTGTACAGACATAACAATGATTAAGTGGACATCAGAAGTGGGTGTATATTTTTTTCTTCTATTGTAAGCACACATTTGTACACTTTCCTTCATCCGGGTCATTTATATTGAATTAATACGCAAAAATGTTGTACACATTTTGATCTTACAAAATTTGTTTGTCTCTTTACCAAATTTTGTGTTTGTATAAAAATTTTCATTTTAATAAGAATGAAAATAGTTATTAGCAAGTTTTATGTCATGGATAAAATTTCAAAAAATCGACACAACAACTTTGTAATGTTTGCGTTCTGGAAACTGATATGTAGCGAGAAATATCGAGATAAAAATTGAGATAGTCAGAGTAAAAAGAAAGAATGTGGTTAAGAGCAGAAACAAATTTGGAAAAACGTGAGAAAAAATAATAAGAACATTAAAGATAGAATTGCAGCAAATAAAGTATAATTTTCCAAATGCAAATAAATGATCATTTCCGAACCCAATAAACATTCCTAGTAGAATTACCAACAGTAGTAAAAGCAAATAGAGAAACATATAAAGAGTAATACAAAAAATTTTATTGAAATTATTAAAGAAACAGACAAACAACCGAATGACCTTTGTTCTGATGACGTCATCTCTGTTGACCTTGTTGTAATAACATGGGAATGTGTGCTGCTGCTGTGGCTCTGACGACGACAAATAAGTCGCAGAGAGCGATGGCGATGAGGAAGAAAACGGCGACGATGTGGAAGATGACAATGAAGATGAAGATGATGACAACAAGGATGATGACGGAAAGAAAGATGGCGTTGAGATTAATGGAATGACATGCTGGTCGTCATGACCTGTAATGAAGGTGCTACTCGTCATCGCGTCACTCACGTCCTTGCCTACATCATGTAACATCTCACTGTTTGTTTCAGTGGAAGTTTTTCTTGATCGGTTTTCATGCTGTTGCTGCTTGAAATTGCTGTTGTAACTGTTACTGTCATGATGTTTTTGATGAGGTTGTTGTTGATGTTGTTGTTGTTGCTGCTGTATGTTTTGTTGATGATGGCGTTCATTGTAGAGCTGTTGTTGTTGTTGTTGCTGTTCGTGTTGTCGATGTTTTTGATCGTGTTGTGGCAGCAGCATATTTTGATATTCCAACGCAGATGTATCGATTTCTTTTTTGTTTTTTTCACTTTCTTTGTGACACGAATAGAAGGAACACTGCGTGGTTGGTTTTTATGATTTGTTTTATTTTTTTTTTTGTGATGCCGATTCTATTATTATTGTTGATTTTATGGTATGGTTTTTGTTGTTATTGCTTTTATTTAGTTCTAATTTTCAATGTTTTATGAACCACATTTCACAAACCTGCACTCTTTAGTAATTGTTCTTTATTTACAATTACAAATTATATTAATTTTTACAAATAAATTTTTAAATTATTTTTCAAGTTGAAATAAATTAATTGAAACAAAAAAAAAAAACAATAAAAACGTTTCAACCTTTTTGTGATTTCCCAATGAATCGAGACTGGTTAGATGCATGAGGGCTACACTTTCGTGGGAGGCATTGTGGGCCCTGTAGCTAACCATAACCTGGTAGCAAGGGTAGTAGGAAATGCTGCAGACTGACGACAATGACAACGACGATGTTAATGTTGATGCTGGTTGCTGGTGAACTGTGTGGATGTTTTTATTCGTTGCGTTCCTATTGTGATCCGAATTGTTCCGTTCGTCGCATGCTGGTTTGTTAGGAAGGACGTTGTTTACGTTATCGTTCTTGGGAGGATGAATCTGATTGTAACTTGGTCGGTTTACTTCTTTTGGGTTGTTGCAATAGTTGCAAGGTTCGTTGCCGATCATGCTGACGTTGATCACCCGACAGTTGGTTGGTTCGTAGGCTGTGGAGAGCGCATACTCCCTGCCAATGTAGACCCCGCAGACGACCATGACGCAGATGGATATGGCACTGACAGTCACCAACACGCAGGTGCTCACAGCATCCTTCGTTCGCCAGGAGCGCATGTAGTAGAAGATGTTACGCTGGTAGTCACTGCTGTTTGACAGGATGAGGGCGCATGCACTTGCCATGTTTGCCATGTCGACAGGGTGGAAGTTACTTGTTTAATTTCTATTATAAGATTGAATTTTTTCACTTTGGTTTCTTGAAAAATGTTATATATAAAAATGTTCACGAACGTTCTGTCTAAATGTTGTCGATAAATCAGAAACTTTTCATAAGATTGAATTTTTTCACTTTGGTTTCTTGAAAAATGTTATGTATAAAAATGTTCACGAACGTTCTGTCTAAATGTTGTCTATAAATCAGAAACTTTTCAGTTCGCAATGCCGTGGAGATGCATTTGTCAGTTTTTTCGCTGAACAGTCGTTAACTTTAAGCAAATGCTTTTTGTGTGCAAACGTGTTTAGCCATATTGTCATTAATGGTCTTGTTAGGAAGATTTATATCCCGTTGACTGCATGGCTAACCATTGCAATTAAGGTTCATGTCTGACGTGTGGTTGTGATTGCTGCAGCTACTGTTGCTGCTGCTGTTGCTGCTGCTGCTGGCTTGTTTTTCATGCTTTTCTAAGTTGTTTCTAATTTGAATATGTTGAATTTTGTTGTTTATTCATCTTTGATGTTTGTCATTTCTGTTGGTTCTATGACATTGACGAGCTATTTTGGTAAATGTTAGATATTAAAATTTGAAAAAACAAATATTAAAGAGTTTCATACAAAAATTTACAGCGTCAAATGAAAAATAAAATAGAATTCAATTTTTTTCAAAACTAAAAATTTTATCGAAGTACAATTTTTACTTTTTTATCAATTCTTTAAGTATTTTAAAAAATCTTTTGTTACAGTTAGTAACGTAAACATTTTTTATCTAAAATAGCACAAACATTTGTTATTTAGAAAAAATTAATGCTGGATTTAACTTTAAAACTTAGAGACAAAGGATGTTAAAAAACATAGCAATATAATTAAAAAAACTGAAATGAAAAAACTGAAAGCAGAATGGAAAGCAACAAAGAATGAAAACGAAGAACACATTGATGAGATGAGCAGACATTATGCAAGAGAACGCCAACAACATGCAATCAATCAAGTTACTGAACAATTAAAGAATTAATGACATCAGAGTGATTAAAGGCAGTGGAGAGCACTGAATGAGCGCGCGATCCATGCACGCATCTATATTGTACATACTTGGAGGCACGATCGCACGTAGGTCCCACAATAGCAAGATTCTCATTAATTATTCATGAGCCGCATTCGACATAAAGTTCTTTTAACTACAATTTTCGTTAACACTAAGCGTTACATCATTAGATTTTTTTTATTACATTCATATTGTTGTCATTACTACTCCAATGTTCGTGCACGCATCCTACGCGGTCGCGGAATAGCTCAACTTATTGTATATTTAATCGATGCCAACGCGAACTCCAGTTCTTTCCATGCAAAGAACGCCTTCATCTAGTCATTTGCCAGTGGAAATGAGTTTGCGTTCAACAGAGTTAGTCGTGATGACAACGAGGACAAAACGAAATGCCCCCTGCTGCTTGTTATATACCCCCTGCTGAATTCTAATAAATATTTTGTGGATCGAAATGTTTTGAAGACAAAAAATGATATTTTCAAAGTTAATTTCAATAAATGATCATCTTGTCGTCTCCAATAAATAATCTCAAGTTTAAAATGTAGGCTCGAAAGAGAAAGTGAATGATTATCGTTGTGCGTTAGCTTCAGTTGGGAAAAATATTTCAAAAAGTTCACTTCAATGGGAGGCTGAAAGAAGGCAGGGCATGCGATTGCAGAAAGCATTAACTAGCAGACCTATGCTTTCCCACATTGGAGATTTTATACGACCGTGCTTTGAAATTGTGAACTTTTGATTGGATAGTCATGATGGAATGATTGACTTTAAAACAATGAAAACCTAACATATAAAGATATAAAGATATAAAGAATGCGTTAATCTAAAGTGTTTATTCATACCGCCGAAACAGAAGGAACATTCTTGCTGTGAAGATTATTCCCTATCTACCGAGGATAAAATTTATTCAGCGCTTGATAAAACCTTTCGAGAACTTCAATGCATGTCATCTTTATATCTAAATAAAATGTCTGCCAAAAAATATTTTCATTTAATATATTAAACAATGAAAATTTATTAATTTTGTAATTGACTCTGAAAATATACATTATAGGCATCTATATTATAAACAATATGTTAAACATTAAAGAGTTTATTAATAGAAAATTAAGTGAAGCGTAAAAAATGAAGTAGTTTCAGTTAAATTTAGATAATCTATTTATTCTGTTTAAAATAACCACCAGCATAAAGCAAATCTGAAAAACGTTTTACTTCAAACGGTTATAAAATGTAAAATAACAACAATGGATGGAATGTTAGCCAATAAATAAACAATAAACAGATGAAAGCATACACTCTTGTACGATAGACATGATACATACATACTTTCAATGCATGCACACACCTACACACATACATATACATATGCACACTCATACAGACACATACAAAAACACGAATGCGAGAGTTAAAGTAAGAGAAGTGAGGTAGGAAGAAGTTGTTTTTATTTCGTGAACGATGATTCCACATAGACTTGTTTATCGATTTGTTCCATTCTTGCTCCGACCAAGGTTCCACGCGTACACGCACACAAAAACTGTTTTCTATCGAGAGCCTTTACAAATAGTTTTTTATTTTTTTGAAACAAAATTTTTCTTATTTTGTTTTTCTCACGATCTGTTCTGGTTGTTTACAAATGGTTTTGTTCCTCTACATGATGGAAACAGAATCACATTCTACCGTATTGTATCACGTTATCATACCACTAATTGATTTACGTAGCTAAAAGAATTTTAAGTACCGACTGCACTCAAAAACACATCAATTTTTTTCTGCTTTCATTTTTTTTAACAATTCTCCGTTTAATATTTCTCAAAGGTATCAGCAACAAACAGATAACGCTAAACTTAATACACAATAACCGCTTTTTGCATATTTTATTTACATTGTAAAAGTTATGAAACTCAACCAAGTTAATACTTATTTAGTCACACATGACTTCCTGAAGAATTTATTCTTTCTTTCCAACTTAAAAAAGACTTTGAAAATGAAAACCTTCCTCTATCAGTCCAAAAGTTTTTAATAAAACACGTTTGCAACCCAATATTTCTTCTCAATAAATCAACATAACGTCAACTCATCCAAACCAAACAAACAAAGCAATGCTATTAACCAGTGAACAAACAAATCAGAATATGCATTCATTCATTCTTTTATTCATTCCTTCCTTTATTTGTTCATTCGTTCGTTCATTTTTCAAACAACATGATAAATAGATGTAATAAAATATCAGACATATTTTAATTAATCATTATTAAAATTTAAACTCTGTCGTGAAAATAATCTTTTTTTATTTTTTTTTTCATTCTCATATCAACGAGTCTTTCTTCATTTGAATAACAAATCCATTTCAATTTTATTGAAATATTACAACGACAAATAACTCTATTGCTCCCAAGTTTTTTCTAAGCAATGGAAATAACTTCATTTTGATAGCTGTGCAGAAAAAAATTGATTGTATATTTATAAAGAATCTGTACATTCAGTCTTCATGTATGTTCCGTCTAATTAATTTATTTATATCACACTTAACATTTTTATCTTACTTTCTGCGATATAAACAGTCTTGGCATTACTCAAACAATTGATAACGAATAATAAGAGTAATAATAATAATAATATAAAATGGATGAGGTAGGAGAACGATAGCATATTTGGAATGGAACGCAGTTGCCGTACCGTGATGTTTCAAATCATCTGATGAAAGCCACAGATAAGAAACTATTCAAAATTATATTTTTAAATATTCTGCCAAACCATTTAATAACTTCTGAAAATTTTTGACAAAAAATTGATATAAATGATTTGAGAAATAAATGATGAATAAATGATGCAATAAAGCCATTGTCTAATTGAAGACGAACATTTAAGCAATGACAGCACCAAGTTTTACGGGGGAAGGGAACCTGAAACTTTTGAAATCTTTTAACCAGAGAGAGGGAAATTTTTCAAGAAAAATTTCATGAAAAATTTTAGTATTGTTGTTCAAATATATTTTTTACCGGGAGAAGCCAAAATTTTCACGGCATTGCCAAAATTTGTCCTTTTGTAATCACAACTAGACTGGTGACTTTTTTCCGGGTTTTTCGCCTTAAAATGTCTATTTTGGTACCAAAGCAATACTTTTTTCAAACAATGACTTTTAACAATATGTTATGATACAAATATGGCTCACAGCGAAAAAACACTTGGTCCTCCCCCATTTACAACTGCCGTAGCCAACATCAACAACACAAACAACTATACTAACATCATAATCTTTACTAATGGACATGTTTAAATATAAAAAAAATGTTATGTGCATGCACTCAGAACTGCACTCGACACTATTTGCATCTTCATCACTTTACGTTAAATTTCACAAAAAAATACCTTTTACATAACTACATTTTAAAACATTTTACGATATATCGAAGTAATATATATAAATATTACTAATTAAGACTTTAGAATTTGTTTAAATTTATATATGTATATATATATATTTATTTATTTTATTCAATTATATTTATATATTTATTTTCGTAGTTATTCATACATTTGTTGAGGTCTAGTTCACAGAAACGTCGGTGTACATTAATGTTTCTACTTAGTAAGGAAATGACGATCGTAATGTTTTTACGACGCTGAAGATGGCCTCGATGATGTATGCGATGATGAAAATGAGAGTAAGAAGAAGAATGATAACGAAACAGATATATTGCTATAGTGATGACGACCGTGATGGTGGAAACGTTTTCCAGTTTTTTGATGTTTGTGATGATGTAATGATAACGGTATTGATGTGGTTTTGTTGAAGCTTTTGATTATAACATCGGCCTTAATGCGTTTAATGCTGTGTTTGTTTGCTTATAATGATTATGTTTGCTTATAATGATCGTGTTTGTATATTTTGTATATGTTTGTAGATTATGTATATGTTTGTATATTTTGTAAA